AATGAGAGAGAAAATTGATATTGGATTGCATGACATTGTTCCTCATCTACATGACACAGAAAATCATATTGTGTGCCTAGATACGAGTTGGAATATTAACATATTCTCTCATAAATCAATTTTTCGTTTTCATAAACCTGACAAACATGACATTGACATTGTAATGTATGTAATATTATATCCAAATATTATTTTTCTGTGTCTTTTTCATTCACTGATTTCATTTACGCACTATGGGCCAGAAATGGAAAATTTTTCCAAAAATTATTTCTACAGCTTATATGATAGTCCTTATTCTGCCCTACGTTTACGTCCTTAAAACTTTGCCCAAGTCGGCAGCATGTCCGAGATATGGCACTTCAAAGTTGGTCAGACGACCATTTTCACGTTACATTGAAAATGCTCTCACCAGTCACTGGATGGATGAATCTCCTCCAAATTTTTTTTGTTAATAGCTTTAAATAGTTCCTTTATTTTAAGGTATAAACAATTGCAAAAAACTTTGGAAAATTTTGTGAAAAACTTGATTTTTCTCAAAAACCACGTGTTCGTCATACTTTCGTTTGTGTAGGTCTTCACAAGCACAACCAAAGTTACCAATTTCTTTTTTATATTAAAGATTACATCAAAAGCTATAACTTTTGCATACATGTTGTATAATTTTAACAAAGTTTTGGTAGTGAAAAAAATTATTTTTATAAAAAAAACACCAATTTTTTGACAAAAATCGCTGTAGTGCTTCAGGGATACCCATGGTAGTGGAATTTTATTTCACATTTAGAAAGCTCTCTGGATATGCTATCAATTAATGCAGTAAAATGAACAAGTGTTCTCTTGGCAAAGAGCACTTTTTTGACTCTGAAAGTCGTATGTCGAGCAAGGTCAAAAAAGAAAAATAATCATAAAAATTTCAGTTTTAAATAAAATTTAATTTTTTTAAGTTAGATTGATAGATCTTTTTAAAACGCGTCTTTTGAGTATAAATATGTCATAGTTTTGTCAAGTTTCATGATCAGTTTTTTAAAAAAATAGTTTTTTTCAAAAAAAAACTTGAAAAATAAAGTATTTGACTTTAGAATTTCATAAAATGCATTCTTTTTATCATTTTTTTCACTACTTTGTCTAGTTTTGCTCCTCGTTTTTTTCCTAAACATAAATCAATAAGAACTTAACATAATTGAAGCCATTTGGAGGTTAAATTGAGTTAAAAATCGTTTAAAATTTTTGTATTTCTCAAATAGTTCTTTACACAAGTATCTAAGATATAAAGTGTTGCATAGTTTTGAAAAGGTATTGAAATTTCCAATATGTTAACATGAAAATTTTAGGAAAATTTTCAAGTAATATAGTCAATTTGGGTAAAAAACGAATTTTATATATGCTAGTTTTAAATGTTTTTCGTTTTTCTCAGCAAAGACTTTATAAAAAAACTCTCAAAGTTTGCACACTTATTTGTTATATAAATGTTAATGACTCGTATAAGTTTTGGAATTTTCCATTGAGTTTTTCATGAGTTCTCCAAATTTGAAATTTTCAATATTAAAAATTCATTTTTCTCAATAATTCCGATTTTTTATTTATAAATAAATATCTTATTTTGTTTCATTTTACAATATCTTTTCATTGATATGTAACAATCTACGAAAAAAATAAGACTAGCGAAAAATCAATAAAAAAAGTGTCAAAAATTTATGAAAATTCTACGCTATTTTAATTTTTTAGCCTTTTCTGGTTAATTTTATTAAGTTTTGTAAGAGTGTTATACCTTTTTGCAAATTTATAGCTTTAGACTTTCATCTGCTTTCATCCACTAAAATTCGTATGAGTCTACGATAAGCACAACTGAAGTCAAATAAGCTTCACGTTGGCGCAACCAAAAATTTTGAATTTATAAAAAACCAAATTATTTAAAATCTTTAAATTATATCTTCAGGCTGCTATTAAATACATGAAACATTTATAGCAAAACTAAATGAAAAAGTTTAATATTATAGCTCAAATAGCATTAGAACTGTCTTTTGTCGCCAACGTGAAGCTTATTTGACTTCAGTTGTGCTTATCGTAGACTCATACGAATTTTAGTGGATGAAAGCAGATGAAAGTCTAAAGCTATAAATTTGCAAAAAGGAATAACACTCTTACAAAACTTAATAAAATTAACCAGAAAAGGCTAAAAAATTAAAATAGCGTAGAATTTTCATAAATTTTTGACACTTTTTTTATTGATTTTTCGCTAGTCTTATTTTTTTCGTAGATTGTTACATATCAATGAAAAGATATTGTAAAATGAAACAAAATAAGATATTTATTAATAAATAAAAAATCGGAATTATTGAGAAAAATGAATTTTTAATATTGAAAATTTCAAATTTGGAGAACTCATGAAAAACTCAATGGAAAATTCCAAAACTTATACGAGTCATTAACATTTATATAACAAATAAGTGTGCAAACTTTGAGAGTTTTTTTATAAAGTCTTTGCTGAGAAAAACGAAAAACATTTAAAACTAGCATATATAAAATTCGTTTTTTACCCAAATTGACTATATTACTTGAAAATTTTCCTAAAATTTTCATGTTAACATATTGGAAATTTCAATACCTTTTCAAAACTATGCAACACTTTATATCTTAGATACTTGTGTAAAGAACTATTTGAGAAATACAAAAATTTTAAACGATTTTTAACTCAATTTAACCTCCAAATGGCTTCAATTATGTTAAGTTCTTATTGATTTATGTTTAGGAAAAAAACGAGGAGCAAAACTAGACAAAGTAGTGAAAAAAATGATAAAAAGAATGCATTTTATGAAATTCTAAAGTCAAATACTTTATTTTTCAAGTTTTTTTTTGAAAAAAACTATTTTTTTAAAAAACTGATCATGAAACTTGACAAAACTATGACATATTTATACTCAAAAGACGCGTTTTAAAAAGATCTATCAATCTAACTTAAAAAAATTAAATTTTATTTAAAACTGAAATTTTTATGATTATTTTTCTTTTTTGACCTTGCTCGACATACGACTTTCAGAGTCAAAAAAGTGCTCTTTGCCAAGAGAACACTTGTTCATTTTACTGCATTAATTGATAGCATATCCAGAGAGCTTTCTAAATGTGAAATAAAATTCCACTACCATGGGTATCCCTGAAGCACTACAGCGATTTTTGTCAAAAAATTGGTGTTTTTTTTATAAAAATAATTTTTTTCACTACCAAAACTTTGTTAAAATTATACAACATGTATGCAAAAGTTATAGCTTTTGATGTAATCTTTAATATAAAAAAGAAATTGGTAACTTTGGTTGTGCTTGTGAAGACCTACACAAACGAAAGTATGACGAACACGTGGTTTTTGAGAAAAATCAAGTTTTTCACAAAATTTTCCAAAGTTTTTTGCAATTGTTTATACCTTAAAATAAAGGAACTATTTAAAGCTATTAACAAAAAAAATTTGGAGGAGATTCATCCATCCAGTGACTGGTGAGAGCATTTTCAATGTAACGTGAAAATGGTCGTCTGACCAACTTTGAAGTGCCATATCTCGGACATGCTGTCGACTTGGGCAAAGTTTTAAGAACGTAAATGTAGGGCAGAATAAGGACTATCATATAAGCTGTAGAAATAATTTTTGGAAAAATTTTCCATTTCTGGCCCATAGTGTTACGATTTTATCAACATGTAAAATTTGAGCATGAAACGGATTCCGTTTTGCCATAAATTTCTAATTTTTCCAAACCATTTTTGCATGTCTAGAATAATTAATCAACAATCTTTCAACCCTATGCTTGTAAGTTATTTTTATGACCTTTTCGACCTTTGTGTCTGATACTTTTGTTTTGCAATTTAGATTACAATCGGTCGATGAAATGAGAAGTTGTTATGGAACAATTATCGAAACTTGAGTGTTTTTTAATTCATACTTTGATAGAGACTTAATGGAACTAGTTCAGATAATTTACGGTTTCGTTTTCTCAATGACTTTATTGTCCTTAACATAACGACTGTGCATAACAACTTCGAGTTTTGATTTATTAGTAACATTTAAAACTTTTGAAGGAATCTCATTCATGATCGAAATTCCAAACTTTCCAAAACTTAAAACATGAGCCTTTATGCTGATGTCACTGTCAGTATCTTATTTCATTTTTCTTGACACATATTGCGAATCCTATACAAACAAGTTGATCGAAATTTATTACGAAAGCTGATGCTGTTTTATTATTTAAAACCAACAGGCGAACATCCTTTTTACATATCATGAAATATGCCCAGAGATATAAATTTTTTTCACTGATCATCAATTCTTACACAACTTGATGGTGATGTTTACACGATGCTTGACATGAAACATAAATAAAATTTCTGTTATCCAGTAACTAACAGTGTTGGAGTAGCTTGAGGCTTGATGTATTATTGTTCGTGAGATTTACATAGGAAGTGGGCGAAGGAAATTTGTGTTTTGAAACCAAAATTGATATTAAATGGACTTCTTTGCTGATGCGAGCTTATAGATGACAAAATTTAATATTCTATAGACATCAGGGAAGTCAAAGGTCTAGTTTCTTAATTCATTGGATTAAGGAAAATATAAATTATAATACATTGACCAATCTTCAAACTAGCACTAACTCAAAATAAATTAAATGTTGCTATAAAACCAGTAATAAAACATCAAAAAGATTTCAACTAGAATTAATCAACTAGAAACCACAAGATCAAAATTCTCTAAGATTCTATGGCGATCTTAAATAAGTTGAAATCTTTTTAATTGCATTTTTATAGCTTCAACTGCATAAAACTCTATAAATTTCAAAGCCGTCTTCAAAAAGCTTAAAAATGTCAATGATAATATTCTCAATTTAATCATCGCTGATGGATGTAACTCTTAAAATGTCATAAAACAACCGCAAAAAATAATTTAATAGACGTCTCAATAAATCTGCATCAACAGGGGAAGTTCTCGAACATAAACTTTATGAAAAAAAAACTTATAAATCTTTAACTTTTGAAATTGAAATTTTATTGAAATCATAAATTTTCCAAAATAATCTATAAACAGTTTACGAACTGATAACTAATGTACACCAATAAATTCAATCATGAACTTAAGTTATAAAAATATCATAAAAAATTATTTCACAGAGATGTTTGTTGTGGGTCTTGTTGACTAGGTGTCTAATCATGTTCTTTGCGCTTATCTGATCGGAAACAATTAGGTCCACACAGCAAGTACCAAGGTTAAACCTTAACAAAGGCAAATTCTTAGTTTTAAGTTATAATGTAGTCAAAGGATGTTTTTTGGAATCAAAACACCTTCTAATTTTCTAAATTTCAAACTATCCACGGAACCTAGTCACAGAGAATGAACAGCAAACATTCTAATTTTCAACAATATCTTTCGTAAAATTATAAAAATAATTTAGTGAATTAAACAATTTTTCAATGTTTTCTCATCATGAACAGACTTTCTCATATTTCCTATAGAGCTCTATTATAATGAATAATGGATTAATGTGTAAGAGGGCATACATGATCGTAGTTTATCATTTGTCTTCTTAAATGTGATGATGCTATCTTTTATCATTTTAAGTTGCAATTGGAAATTCAATCACGCATTCACTACCTTCGTCATTCCATATACATATTATAGTAGTTATCATCATATTATTAATAGTTTTATTATCATAAGGAAAAGAAGAGTTTGTTGCTGGTCTATATTATTCACATACATTCACAATATGAATTTACATATCGTCATAATACTTATAAGACTTAAAGATGAAGACGATTCCGTTGTTCGAATTTCTCACGTGAAATTGATGTTATCACCGATGAATGTCCGTTTCCATTAACCACCAATGATTTCTTCTTATTGTTATTATTGATATTATTATTATTATTATTATTATTATTATTTTGCAGATACGTGATATTTGTCGGATGTTGCTGCTGTCGAACGGAGCTTGTTCGATTAGGAAAAGCCTTTTTCGGGTCAAGATGCTGTCTAAGCTGTGATTGTTGTTGCTGCTTCTGTGTTCCATTATTCATCAATTGTGATTCTTCCTTTTCCGCTCTAGTGGATGGATATAGAAAAATGGAAGAACGTGATTAAAATCAAATTAAGGCAGTTCGAGAGAAGCAATCGTGTTTAAGCATTTTTGCGTGACCAGATGCAGTTTTGTGTGCAGTTTGGTCTGTTTGCGGTAATGAAGAAGTCGATTTTGGTTTTGTGGGGTGTATAAATATGGGGTATTTTTGACAGATTTTAGTATATCAAAGTAATCGTCTATCCAAAACTCAGGATATCATGCAAAACAATGCACCCAACCCGCAAACCCAACAGTGACATTTCACCCTCACTTCTCACGAACGTGTCAAACATCCTCTAAAGTTTGTCACCACATCTCTCGACATAATTGCATATTCATTAAGTTCATTAAACTTACAAGTATCTTGTTATATCCTCTATGTCGATGAGCATCGAGTCCTGTCGCATACTAAAATCATCACGATCCATTAAGTACTTGACGAGTATCTCATTGAGCGTTTCGATGAATGAATGAAACTCATTGATGATAATTTGCAATTGAGCAATATTCATGTTGGTTAACATTTGTCGCGATAAGCGTCGCTTTGTGTGTGGCACTTTCATGCCTACTTTCTCGAGTGTTTTATGCACAAGCTCTGTTATTGGACACATGGGTTGCTTTTGACGTTCGAACTAATGAATAAATTTTTGATTTAATTAAGTAACTGATTTTTCATGTCATGTAATGCTGTAAAATTACCTCCATTTGCATATGAGCCATATCTTTTGCCTGGGCGAGGGCCATACGTGCTTCAATTTGAAGGCGAGCTTGATGCGTGAAAAAATTGTTATCATTTGCGTCACTCAATGTCAACGTTATTGGACGAACGGCTGTTGAAAAAAAAATAAGGCATAAATCACCATCAATCAAGGAATCGAGACATAAAACGGAAATTACCGCTCCTACCTTTCTCATTACGATCTAAAACTGATGTAGCAATGGAAAGTGGACGAGAACTATATGGATTATTATTTAGTGCCGTACTACGATGACTCATAAGGCTACTCGATCGCTGAATAGTTTTTCGCTTATTCATGCCCTGTGAAAGTTTCGGACATGTCTCGCTATCGGAACTCTCGCTGTCCGATGCGGCTTCATTCATGAAGCAAATTTGCAAATTCATGCCTGAAAATATGGTAAGAAGGAAACAAACAATATTTATGTTGGAAGTACAAATGATTTCTATATTTTAAAAAGCGATTATGTCAATCATTCGCATAATTCGCAAAGGAGTCATGAAAAGCCATTTAATGGATTATGTACGTACCGTTTTGCAAGCGCGACTGTAAATTTGGTTTTCGTATCGGTCGATGTGCTGCTGCCAAATAATCATCCTCCTCACCCATAGCAAGTCGTCGACGAATTGCTTCACGATCATTTTTCCTCTGTAAGAAGGATAGAAAGGAATAAATCAATTAATCAATATTTTATTTCTAACTCAATGGTGTGAATGGAACATGGATGTGCGAAATGTACATTACTATCGTAGTCATTTTCCAAGCTAATGCACCGTACAAATTTATCAACAATATTATCGAGCTCGTCTAGAGACTTTTCTGATGGTTTTAATGAAATGGGAGATCGACATGACTCCGTATAAGCCCGAGGAAGCATGAATACATTATTACTACAATATGCATCATCCTGATGCTGACTGACGAGCGAATAACTCGCATTCAGAATTTTATCAAGAAGCGATGTCGATTTGGAACCATCTGTTGAATGAATTGAAATATTCATTGATTCCACATCGCTCACTCGAGATGTTAATCGACTTCTTATATTATTCACAAAACTACCAATCATTTTCACACTTTTTCTTTCTTCTCCCTTCAGCATAAGCAACAAAAAATTATATACGGTAAATAACCTTGCAGCGATAGTAAAGGAAAAGGAAGAACCGTAAACGAGAGGAATCACGTCGAAGGGTCGAAATAAAACTAAATGAATAGCAGTAAAAATGATTTTTTTTTCTTTTTAAGGTCTTAAAGGAGACATCCACACAAACAAAAAAATAAGAACATTTTGCAAAAGGATCGAGGATTGATGATGAATTTTTATGTGTATGTAAGGCATCTCTGTACATTCTGTGAATATATTAACATTCGTATTTGTATTGCATATGTGTAGACATACAATATTGTGGATGTTTCAACAGCTGGTGATTTATCGTAAAATATTCTATTATAATGAAAGAAAGTTTTGCTTCATAAATAAATATCATGATATCGATTTATGTTCTTGGTCTTCATTTTATTCCATTGCGACTTTCTGTTGTCAACAGACATGAGTAAGAACTTTCTCGAGTCTCTCGGTTTTGAGGCTTTTTGATTGAGAATAAGTTGAAGAAAATTGAAGGATTTTTATGAAGATGTTGAAGGTTTTGTGAGAGATTTCTTTCGAGACAGATTTATTTGGAAGTTTAAGAAGAAATTTTATAAACAGTCGTGAAATTGAAATTTGATAGATGACTTATCAAGGTATTATTTACAATAAAATTTGAGTGACAATTTATTGAGGATTATTGGATCAAAAATTCGAAGAACTTAAGTTTAAGCATTGATGAGTCTTTCAAAAATATCGTCTATAATAAAAATGGGTTTAATATCTGCTTGTAGCTAGTGAATTAAATTGATTTAACGTCTTAGAGTCCTGACACTGTAGGTATGTAAATTCGAGAGCTTATTAACGTTGGAAAAATTCAATTCGACTATTTGCCAAAGCCTAGAACCAATACAAAGGCTATTGGCTAATGCAATCATTCAAAATTGGGAGCTCAGCATGTAAACGTAGCTTTTAGTCACACCGACAAAAATATCATAAGCAAACAACTCCTCAACTGATTATCCAACAGAATCTACTCTATCTAATCCTAATGACTCAACACCATCATACCAATCATCCTACCTGAATCAAAATACTGATCATTCATAAAAACAATCTCATTATTCCTCAATATCAACAACAATCTCATCTTAAAGTACACAATCTATCCTCTTCACCAGAAATTGCATTACTAATACACTCAATGCCTTCAACAATGACACTTAGACATGCAAACATTAAAAGGAATTTTTTCGCAGCTTCACCAACATTGCAGTCTCAAGTACCTGCTGATGAAACATTCAAGAACTGTTTTTGTTCATTCTTTATCTTATTTCTCAATACAGACTTAATTAAACACTTGAGCACTAAGAATGTTGGCTGAAAAAAACTGTTTCGAGGTAAGAAATCAATCCAAGACACTTGGATATACGAAAAAGTTTCATGAAATTGAATCTTAAATTAAAGGATGAAAGTGACTATAAGAAAAAGTTTTGTAAATTTAATTTAGGTTTTTGCTGCATGGATTATTTTTTTATCGAGCTATGGGAAATAACAAGCGTTTCAGATTCCATCCAGAATTTCTTGTTCCATTTCACAATATTTCATTTTCCAAATAGGTTCAAAATTTATCAAGTTAATGTAAGCAACGTGACTTCACGCCATAAAGAATCAAAACCATTCATTTAGTGGAGAAAACAGCTTTAATAACTGCCTTTTAATGAAAATTGGTCTCACAACAAATACTTATTTATTAGTTAACCATTTTTTTCGGTATTTTTTGCTATGGACTTACACTCTATTAGACTCGAGAAGAGAAAGAAGAAAATTCATTTTGAGGCATATTTAACGTGGCGGAAGTTAGAGCAGCGTATAAAATACGCTATTAAGTAAATGGGAAGCGCAAAATAAAATCAAAATAAATATAAACATTTGACTGTGGCCATTAATTTGATAATTTTCTGTTACTTATAAAGCAGCTGTTGTGGATGGGGGTAATGTTTTTGGATGTTGGTAAAGAATTAGCAAATCTAAAACACTTTGGAGTATGACATGCTTAGTAAATTCTACACGTCTACTGGTCAACAAAACTTAGAGGCAGCAAAATCATGAATTATATTACAGGGGCTGGTTTCAAGGAAACCTACACTAGAATTGATGGAACATACTCTAGGATATGAAATAAGTTTGACTGTTACTAATAGTGCCTCATGTTTATCTTATAATTCCTAGTATCCATTAATGAAAGTGCACAACAAAAATTTTACGTCAATCCACAAAACTGAAACCTCATAATTTTCTGAGATAAACACAACTTACAACACAAATGAAGCCTACAAAACTTCCAAATTCGCGAGGGAATTGGCTATTTATTACACATCCCTCGCTATATTGATCAGCAACATATTTTTCACCTCCCATTAATTATTATCATTAATCTAAATGATTATTACCTTCCATCACATTATAGCCTCCTCTCAATCGACAATAATACCAATGCAATGCAAAATCAGACTAATGTAAAAATAAGTTTTATGGCTTCTATCGCATAATTTTGTTAAAAATAAAACATCATAACTTTCCGTATTTAATTGAAATTAAGTATAAAACTGCTTAATTAATCATTCGAGGGTAAATCGGAATCAGAATTATTTATACGAAATGTTAAGGAACAATTTTTTTTTTTGAGAACGAAAGAGAAAGGAACAGAAATGATTGATGAAAATTAATGGTTGCAACTTAATTTTAGTCAATCTTTTTTATGCTGTTTATTTTATGTGTTTGATAGCAGCAATTTGGAATTGTTATGATGTAGGGGAATGAACTTAGGAGAAAAAGAAAGTTGATGAATGAAAATTATGATGAGGATTGTTTCAGATTGTTATGTCAAGTTTGTGAAAGTTAAGAAGTTTGAGCAACAATTTTTTGTCAAATTTTGTTAATAAATTGAGATGCTTTATGGACATGATGGATAATTTGGAGCTGCATTGCAGTTTTCTTAGCGAGATCTTGATCTGATGTCATCACATGACACATCCTAAGAGATGCACAAGCTATTCAGATTTATAATGAGATCTAAAGCTTCACTAAAGCACAATCCATGGTTAATTAAAGTTTAATGAGGAAGTACAAACTGCAATTAAACTTAGACTCACAGTTTTTGATTAGGATTTCAACCACTTCTTTATTATAATTTTTGTATGTAGTCTTTATGACGTGGCTATAATTAATTTTTCTAAATCAAATGATTCTAAGCCAATTTTCAATAACATGATTCAGCTTCCTCAGAAAACAAAACTTGCTAGAATTTTCCACCAAACATCAATTCCCCCTTATAAAAACCCAAAATTACAAGCAATTAGATTTAAATTTCTAATACCATACTAATAATAAGTATGCATTTTGTAGGTTGAGCGCTTAATTCATTTGTGATAATTAACGGACTTTATTATTGATTTATTATTTTTTTAACTCATTCACTGGTTGTGGTAAATCAAGTACTCAAAATGAATTCATTATCTCAGTTATGTTCCGACCATAACACACGTATTGGATGAATAACCAACGAAAAAGCAAAACAAGAGAATGAAAATTATTGAACAATTGTTGAATTAATATGGAAATAAATTATATAATCGGATATGCGGAATTGGAGCAATTCATATTCAATAAGTGCTGATTAATTTTCTTTATATTCAATGGAATATTAGGTCAAATTATGAACATTATTAAATATAACTGACACTCCATGTATGTATGATTTATGGAGAACGTTTATCGGATATGAGTATGTGCTTTAAAATGCAAACAAAAATTCTTCTTGGTAATTTGAACTTCTTTAAGACTCCAACCAACGTCACATTTTAAGCTCATTTGTATGATAAATTTTCCTTTATTTTCTCATGATTGCTACACAAAACTTTTTCTTTTTCCCATTTTTCATTTTCCCTCCGTCTTTTTTTATTTCTTCATCCTCACATTGCTCGCGTGCGATACTACGGGTTTCCACACAAAAACCAAAAATGCGAATTCACTCCATAGGGATCTTAAAAGAAGTGACAAAGACATAAAAAACCCCGGAACATAATACAGTTACATCTTTATGCTTAATTTATGCGACAGTTGCGCTTCATTAGAGTCTCTCATGTGCAGATGATTCTTTCTTCCCCTTTTTAACTTATAAAAAATGGGAATGCGGTTTGAAAATGGATGTCCTTGACACCATCATATCACATATTTAGGATCTAATGATGTGGAAACTAATTTCTTATCAGCATCATTTTTGCTTTAAGCAGACATTGGTTCATATGATAGTGATGTCTAACATTTAGGTGGAATTAAGAGAGAGAATGATGAGATTGAGGTAAGAAGGTCATTTATGTGTCGTTCCTGAATCTTAGGAAAATCCAATAAAGTCAAAAGACTAGAATTTTTAATTTATATCCTTAGATTGAAACATATTGAGACATGAACATAGCCAAAAAAAAATATTTTGATTGACGTAACTTGCGAACAACTCCCATAAATTGGACGAAAACAAAGTCAACAACAATAACAATATCGGGTAACATCAAATGCGGAAAATCATAATCTTTTCCAACTCTTCATCTATGCTCTTCTCGCGTCTCATAATTTCCCCCCTTACGTAAGCTCTTTCGGCAACAGAAAAAAAGCTTGTATTATAATATTAAAATTTGCATAATGTCAGTAGCGTCATTTTTGTGTAAATAATAATCTTGCCAGCATACGAGAATAAACTATGTTACTATAAAAATCGGATTTTTTCGTGTCTTCTCCCTTTTCTCAAGCACAGTCGGTGTAGTTTTTTTTATTCATCTGTCATTTTTCAGAACAACAACTATTAGAATGTAAGGATAGTGAAAATATGGTTGTGGAGTGAATGGGCAAAAAGATTTACATTGTATTTTTTTATTAGATTATTTTATACGTGAAGAAATTTTGCATTCATTCAAGTTTTTTTTTTATGATTGTTGAAAAATTGCGAAAACAAGGAGATGCTGGATATCCATCAAAACTATTTTGGCTGTAATGAATAAATCTTTGAATGATGTTCATGCTGATTTAGTTGAAATTTTTTGAGTAGAAAATGTGTATTTGTGGTTGTAAAAGTCGTTTTTTCGCGTTACGTTATAAATGAACGGCCCCTTATTACATCCATCAATAAATGGGGTTTCAGACCTCAAATGATCGACGATTTGACAAAACAAGCCCTTAAGTCTACCAACTATAAAAATTCGCATTTAAAAGACAAAACTATTTTCTAGTTCAAAGATACATTCATTAATAGCTCTATTTCCAAAAATGCACGAATCCAAGCATCACTAATACAAAGCACGTGAACGACACATTCAGCTTCCATCAAAATTTCCAATTCACATTCATCAATGAAATGCAATTACCGCATATCCACCAAGCATTGATATTGAAGTTGTAATACCAAAAGCTTGCCATAGAATTCGCTCTTTGAAATTCGACAGACTCAAACATTTTTTACGTTCTTATTAAATATTTTTAAAGAAAATGTAGCGAGCAACACAAAATATCAGAGGTCGAAGTTGGTGAAGTGAAGTCGTTTCACTTCACTTCACTTCACTAAAATTTCAATCGGTTTCAGGTCAGCTCGAGTGAACTCATTTTTTTCGTGTTCACTCGAGTCGACTTTTAACCGAGTTGATTTTTTCATGTTCACTTTAGTCGACTTTTAACCGAGTTGATATTTTCGTGTTCACTTTAGTCGACTTGAAACCGACTTCGAGAAAAAACAACTCGGTTAAAAGTTGACTCGAGTGAACACGAAAAAATCAAGTCGGTTTCAAGTCGACTAAAGTGAACACGAAAATATCAACTCGGTTAAAAGTCGACTCGAGTGAACACGAAAAAAATGAGTTCACTCGAGCTGACTTGAAACCGATTGAACTTTTAGTGAAGTGAAGTGAGTTTGCTTCATCGACTTCGAACTCTGCAAAATATTTTTTAAAGGCAAATCTCTTTCATGAAGTATGATATGACAGAAGAGAAGAAAGAAAGCAAAAAAAAAAATTTCATCGCTCCTATGCGGCATGAATATAATGCTTCAATTCATGAAAAGAATATAAATTTAGAAATGCTCCAGATTTTCTTATTTTTTTACGACCCAGAGGCAGCAACTGATAAAAAGTTTCTAGAATCTGTAGCCTAAGGCTGCACCGTTCTTCCTATGAAGATATTTATTGTCAATCGATTTATACTATTTGGTAGAGATTAGAATCTACGTTATTTTTGTAAAATGAAAGTAGAAAACTTTAAGGTAGATGGGAGCCATTCGCAAGTGAGGTTTAACATTTTAATAAAAACTGAAGTTGAGGTCCTAATCTCAATTCAATGAAAGACACATCATTAACAAACGAATCCACAAAAAGCACTTTTACTAATAGAGGAAGGAGCATATCCAATAATGTTTAAAATCGTAAAAGCATGCCGTGGCAATAAAATACGTCGTACAAAATGATTCATCAGAGAATAATTAATCAAATGCAAAAATACATAAAAATGTGCTTTTTGCTCCACTTTTAAAATTTTAATTCTATGCTTTACGGATTAATTCCCAAACTTTTTTTTATCACAGTTTCTGTTTGCATTTTCTCTGTTTTTGTGTTTATTTAAAACTGCAGCATACAAAATATTCGTGTGATCAGCATTAATTGCTTTTACTTGTCGTTTATTTTGTTTATTTTTAGAGTGTTTCAAGGTTTTTAAATGACGTTAAAAATAAAGCTTTTAGTGATATTGAATAAACTTTATATTGGTGCTGTTTTAGGAGTGCATTTCGGACTATATTGTTAATTAGTATAGATGTTTAAAAAGATTATATGCTAATGATTATTTCGATCAAGCTTTTTTCTAATTCATACTTAATTGGCATAATTAAATACTGGAAAGCATCAATTGTATAGAAAAAATCCCAACTGATCTAGAACAGTTGGAAAATCTACACATAAAGTATTAAGGGTTTACTCATAAAGCTAATCATACCGGCTGGGCACCGGATTTTTATTCGATTAACCGACTTGTGCTATTCGGGAATCATCCAGAATGAAAGTTATCCGCACCAGTGTCGTTCCTACTTGGTGCAGAATTCAATCCTATGTCCAAATCGTGTTGATCTTCTTTAAAACAATTCAAGAATACCAGTCTACTTTTGATCTTATTTATAATGGCAACCTCCCATAAGGATTACACGAGCACTAAAAAATTAACATGATTTAAAACTTTTCTACTTAGCATCATCAAGATCTTGTAGAATGATGCTCAAACTTTTAAAGTTCAAGTATTTACTCGATGTTAAACGTCTCATAAATTTTATGAGCAATATTCTACTCCAGAAGCTTCTCATCCCATCACGAAAAAAAACTTTTTAAGCACCAAATAACACACGAAAAATAGACGAGAATAACATCACACAAAAAAACTATAATTTAAATATTTCATATCCACTCAACTTATAGAATCTGCATTCTAAAGCATAAAATTTTATGTCTCAAGCGAATAAATTTTGCAGAGGAAAAGAAAACTTTTTATTTTATTTTTTTTCTACATGGTTCAGTTTCTACTCGCACAGCATAAGTCACATAATTGTAATTTCGTTTATCTTTATAACATTATAAAATGGAATCTCCTGCAAAATAGACGAAAATGAGAAAGGGTTCATAGATCCAATTCATGACCTCCATTCACACATTTATAGTATTAAACTTACATTAAGAGCATTATCATCATCAACATCATCATTATTGATCATATGAATGGAAGATATTAGACTTATCGTGTTCAAACTTTCACAGTTATCGTAGGTCAATGTGTACAGATCATTTACATAACGTGAATCCTTCTTGTAATGTCGTTTGATTGACATCAAACTCGACAACGAATCCAAATTTTCAATGTACATTTTTATGCTGTTCGATTAATCTGTCAATGCAGAGACTTTCTTTTTTTTTTGTCACTTGCTATACAGCCTCGAGTGCTATTGCTCGACACTGTTATTATGGTCTCTTTCACTTCTGTTTGTTTGCGATAGCACAAAAAAGGAATTGCAGAAGAAGAATTTAATTTTCAATTCACGTCACAATCAATCATCTGTCGGTGTGGTTTAATTATTTTACTAGATAGACAGCAGTAACCACACAATCAATATGCACACGTCTCATTGGTGTCTTTGCTTTGTGTCACAAATGTATTATTTCGTCTTTTAACTCTCTTTTCGGTCAATTTAAAATCACTTTATCACAATTCTAATTCGATCTGTTTCACATTCCGTGAATATTTGACTACCGAGATGTATCATACGTAATATAAACACGAGTTAAATGCACTTATCTTGATAAGAATCATTAAAGAGATTGATTACACTCTGCTGACGTTACTTGATGTTTCTACATCGAGCTTTCAAACAATATTGATGTCGTCGATTGATTTTTTTTTCTTGCCTTGCTATGCCTGCCTTCTATCTCTTACTTCATCACATAAATACAATCTTTAAAGCGAATATAAATTGGAAATAGAAATGAGAAAGAGAGACTGAGAGGAAATTACCGTAAAACTTTTTCCTTCTTCATTGAGTTTTGAGCTCTCAATTGTTGTTGTTTGTTGCGAATTGTAGAGCTTTAATTTGTGTACGAAAAAATACATTTTTAGGTGTAAATGTTTTACAGTACAATCTAATTTTATGAAATGTTGGCATGTCTCTATGGTATTAATTGTGATTACATGCTTTAGTTAAGGGAACATTTTTGGCTATAAATTGTTATGAAAAATTTTTGTGGTTTTTTGTTCTACCTTTTTTGTGTGCGATTCCTTTGTGATATTAAACAGTTGTATATAATTAGAAATTTTGGGGTATGTTGACAATTTTTTGACAAAAGTTTTATGAGGTGTTGTCTGAATTAAAATAGAATTCCTTGTTATATTGCTATAATGAACATTTGGAGCTCTAATTACACTAGATTTAAGTAACTTTGCCGTAAGAATAAACTAGGAATATTTTGAAAAACTAGATTTTTCTTTAAAACTGGTATATTGATCCTCTTGTTAAGACCTGATACTAAGTTTAAAGACTTGAATTAGCTTAGATTCGAATTAGAATATTGTGTGCTTTTCCGGCTTTTCCAAAGAATTTAAAGAACAAGGTTAGTAAACAAAACCAAAGTCAGTTATAATACATCCTAATCTCTTATCGGTCAGACAATGGTTTCCAAGTGGCAGCATACAGTTTAAAATCACCGATCATCATGCAATGCTACCTTTTAATCTTCAATTGCATCAAGGTTTTAAGTATATACTTTAATCATTGGTTTAAATCTCAAAATGATTATTTCTATGAAAATCTATTAAAATGCACAGTCATTAAATATTCAGATTCATTGATAGCTTTATGTTGACTACCATGGACAGGTCAATATTACTCAAAGATTGATAATCTTCAAGCGTCAAACCTACTACAATAGCATCTGCGTCAATAATTTTGATAAAATGAACACAACCTTTGACTTTTATTCTTATATCCACCATAAAACCCCAAGTATACACATTGTAAAGCAATCCTTCATCAAGAAAAAGTTGAACACAATCAAAACCTTTCAAAAAATTTCTGAAAAAAAAAATCTTTAACCTTTCTAAAAGTTCATCTTTGGGTTCTTGAAAGTTTCATGCTAAAATGTCGTAAAAACACCACGCAATACAATAAACATTCTTCTAACCTTAGCCTCAATACCATTTAAGTATTCAAACATCAATCAAGCTAAATCTCAGCATTAGCATAAAACCACCGAGCTCATATTCTCATTCACATTTCAATCAAAAGATTATAATCGATTAAATTGAGCAAAAAAAAAGACTCAATATTTACGTCAAGTGTAAGTAAAGGTGCAAATACATTCGACAAAAAGAACGTAACAAGTGCTACCAATTCAATTAAAGTCGAGTGAACCACCTGACCATCAAAACCGTTCATTACTTCTTCTTGCTATTCAACATTGAATCTCGTCTGTATCTAACGGCGTGGCACGTTTTATGGATGAAAAAAAGTAGCAGAAATGTAAAGAAGAAAAGTAGAAGTACGAAATTGGAGAGAGATGGAAGGTAATATGATTATCGAGTTCGTTCTCTCTGTTTTTGATTTTTGGGTCAATCATAAGTGACGTCTAGCATTTACAAGGAGCTATATTAGGCACCTTAAGCTCTACTTAAATATTGTTTGGAAGATTTGGTGACATTGGGGTCTATAACAATTAATTGAGACGTCATTTACGAACATCCCATTTACGTTTGATGAAAAGTAAGCATTAAGTAAGAGAAATAAATAATATTTCAAGGTAAAATCCGCAAATAATTATCATTCGAGGTTTATTTCTCTTTCTTTTGCATAATTTCTTTTTGGAACAATAATGCTTGAAGTCAAGCTTTTGTTATTACTTATATTTTTTTGGGGTATTAGAGGAAGAAAGATACTTTTTTTTGGAAGTAGAAAGTGAAGCATGTAATTAAGATATCAGCATGGGATTAATTTTGTAATATCGTACACAATGTTGATATAATTTACATTTATTACGATGCAAATTTATTGTTAAACTAATTGAAAAGATGGAATTAATTGCTGGTTTAATTTAGTGATTGAATCTATAGATTAATGAAGATGGTGTAACTATTTTTGTAGGTTGATGATCTAATTGAATAACTGTTTGTTAAAAATGAGTTAATTATGAAATTATGGATCATATCTGGTAACATGTTTGCATTATTTGGTTGAGCTTAGACAATGATATTGTTAGGAAGTATTGACCAAGCTGAAGATCCAAGAGCCATCTACTGTCATTTCAGAAAATCAAAATTGACCAGTTCCTTATTAATGTTACCGTACTATTGATCTACAAGCTAAGAACTACTAATCCTCCTCAAGATTCAAGTATTCTCATCAACAGGTTCCTAAATCATTTCAATTTGACCCAAATTCAACCGTTTATGTTAAAAGCCAGTGTTCTTTCTTGTCCAGCAAGAAAACAGCACACGTAAGACCAAATAAAATAATGTCATTTAAAATGTGTGCTGCTAAGCACTTTTCTATAGAGAAAAAATGTGTCATTGGAACAAACATTAAAAACATTTTGCTGATTATACAGAAAGGACATGAAAAATAATTTATTTTGCAGATTTTTTTGTTCAAAAAAAGGAACAGACATTGAACAAATAATGTCTAACTTTTTCAAAAATGAATTTAAATTTCTTCTTATTCTAGATGCATAAGGAAGTTAAAGGAGACTAGTCTAGTGCTACTTGTGCCAATTTGAATAAGTTTCTCAAGAATCACAACAGGCCGCTCATAACGATGCAAAGGAAAACTTATAGATCATCTCATTACCATAGTAATAACTGTTGAAAACTTACAAGAACATGCTAATCCTCAATACATAAAAGTTAATTCAGTAAAACCAGAGTCTTCTTCTTCTTCTCTTTTTCATACTTTTTAAAGCACCATTCAAAAAACTTTTTATCCCTGAATCTCTGAACTTATAAAGTCCTCTCTTATTAGTATATAAAGTTAGTTCTTCATTTGGGGTTGTTCATTAATGACGTCATATATTGGATGAATTAAATGAAAATGCATGACATTCAATCCTAATAGTTATACTTTGAAGTATAGCTAAATAGCATACAGCATGACGTCACTAGCTAGCAATCCCCATCCTCCTTGATATTAAATTTAGTAGAACACATGATTTCATTAAAGATAAAGAAGAAGCAATCTTGCTTAAATATGCAACACTATCAAAAAAGGAACGAGAATGAGACGAGGAAACTAATAACTATAAAGCAACCCTTAAGACGTTGCAATTAACCAACTGCCATCAAATAATACGATGATTTTGAGTTCTTACGACTGTAAAGTGAAATCAGGTGAAATGAGAATGTTTTCCATTTCAGATTTTTATCAGACCATAAAAAAGGCAAAAGTAACTGATAAAAAATAATGGCAGTAAAAAAACTTGATAACATAAAAATTCATTAAAAAATCGGCAATCACATTGAAATGTTATTCCAAAAAAAAAAAATCGCGTTTATGCTCATACGGGAATGGATGTAAATTTTTATTAACGCTATTTGTAGCAAGTGTTATTCATAAAGGGTTTGAGAAGCGATGAACATAAAGGCTTACAAGCAGAGTTGATGTCTGTTATGAATCTTTGATCTTGCAGAGTCTGAGACAGGATTGTTGAATGACTAGGACTAAGCAAACGTGATTAATTAAGTATAGCTGTGCCTTTGATCTGAGAGAGTCTCTGTGTGACAAATGGAATTGCAAACATTTTCAACTGATCTTTCGGATAATGTGGATGAAAAAAAAAATATTTATTAAGCATGAACAAGCAGTATTTTGAACAAATATGCCAAAAGAAGCTTGAATTGGATAACTGGGAATAGACAACTCAGACCAGTCTATGTAATAAACAGAATAGCTTTGTTAGGAAGATAAGGAATAACCATCTCCTTGCAGAATGTCTAGCGAGATCCCTGTCATCCTTAAAGCTACCTGATTTTCACCTCTGTTTAAGTATCGGATCCAATCATAAAAAAATATCACACAAACACAAAAAAAAATATTTTTTTGAGGGAAAGGAAAAATATTGCTTTAATTCCGGTAGCATATAAAAAGTAATTAAAATTATTCCGTGTCGACATTGAGCGGGAAAAAAATGAGAAACAAAAAAAAAAGGAGGGAATGTTGAGAACCCACCGGTCTTAATGACTGTGAAAATCTTTTCGCTTTCTTTCCGGTTTTGCGTTGCAAATTGGAAATTCTTTATGGCATTTAAAGTGTTAAAGTTTTGTGGTAAGCAATAAAAGGTTTTTGCACAAAAAAACAATTAAAGAAGTCCTCGTGTTATTGATCGAGGGACTTAAGCGCATTTTTGTGTTAGCGATCAGTATTTGATTATCTAATTATTTTGCGTTCAATTACAGATCATCAGAAGATTAGAAGATCATTAATTTTAGTGAAAAAGGTTTATCATTTAACGGTTTTCTGGAATTCAAATTTTTTACCGGTTAGAAAAATTCGAATTGCTGGACGCACCCTGATTACAATTTTTACAACGGTAGAAAATAATTCAATTTTCTAAACGCACCCATCACGTGATTTTCATACGAAATAAAATAATCATTAATTAAAATACAAATACACTGTTTTAAGACTTTTAACTGTTCGGCCAGCCAATAACTCGATAGGACTGAGCTAATAAAACAAACCCGAGCTCTCGACGAAGTCTAGTTAAAAAGTTTTTCTTCCCCCGAACAGCCGAACAATGTGTATTATTAAGCTACCTTTTAGAAACAAGTTTCAAAAATGCGCTAAAAATATGATTGTTGATAAGAGAAATTGTGTGATGACGTTGAACATTCCAAAAACACTTTTTTTGTATTTATTTATTTATCAAGCACAGACAAGAGTTCACGAATGAAAAGGCATGGCGAATCAGCTAATCCATGAAATGAGCTTAAATCAGCAAAAATTGAGAAAAGCAGCATGATTTCAATTGATTGGTCTGTTAAAGCGTAAAATGCTATAAACTTATCGAATTTGCTGTTCAACAGAAATGACTGTAATTTCAGACAATAAGCATGTTGATAAATCAATTGAATTGAATTTTTTTGCGAAACTGTTTCTTAAATTTGACTCGGATTAACGTGTTGTGGATGAGGCTTTGTTGTTGAAAACTTGATTTTTTATTGGATGAGAATTTGAGTTATGACTTGCTTTGTGGAGCCGGTTTCTAGGGCTTTTCGAGATACTCTTCAGAAATTTAAAGCTAAATTTCATTAAAACTCAAAGGACAACGATGATTGATTCATGGGTTGCAATGCTAGATATAAATGTAACTGACTGCAACTAGAACAGAGCACCCTGAACAGCTCTTTAAACCAGCTCCATAAAAACACTGCAGCTTTTCTTAATAGAATATAAAATTCCAAACTATCAATCTTTAATTCTCTCTGAACTCTACTTAAACAGCGGTGAGATCTGCATCACATATTTAGTTTCTATAATTTTCAGCAGCTTAATGCAAATGACTTCATCCTCAAAACTTCAAAAGAATTAATTTCTTAACTCATTTTCCAAAAGAAAGTCTAAAGGAATTAATTCTTTAATGTGTTTATAAACAAGAACAATCAATTTTATGAGATAGCAACTTTTCCGTTCTAAAATAAACAAATTCAAAGCTTAAAAGAAACTTTGACTCTCACGGAACGATACGCCATGCCAAAAACATTAGCAAAATTAGTTGTATGAGATTAGAATAAATTCGTAATTTAATCCCAAGTTCTTTTGCATATTTTATTAATAATAATAATATCAAAAACAGCAGCAGAAGCAACAACAAAAACATTCTCGTAAACAACACAAGACATTTAAATCCGCAGAAAACTTACTCGTTCATTCTAAGAAAAGTAAACTTTTTTTACACAAAGACCAAGAAGAAGAAAACCAGAACTAACTTCATTATTCTATAATTTTCCACCTTTCTTCTTTTCCCCCATCACGGCAGTCGCCCCGTATGAAAAGTTTCTCCTTTTACCATTCAACGATTCCCACAAATCCTTCACGCAATTTTCCCATTTACACAACGTTTTTCACGCAGCAGTAATTTTCTGACACTATAAATTCCCATTATCCCCATTCATAGAACCGGGACCATCTAAAGTTGATGTTTGACATAAAGGTGGAGATAAAATGGAAAATTTCCTTAGGAAGCCTTAGTAGAGGTGGTTAAAGTTTGATGATATAAAAATGAGGAATAATTTGACATTACGAATCCCAATTTTATAATGACGTCATTTTCCGACGTCCCACAAATCAAAAGCGACATAATAAACAAGACAAACAACAGCAATAGAATCAGATGACAATGAAGCACGAAAATAATCTGATAATCATTTCATTCATCCCGTACCTTAACACAATAATCTCATATTCTATGTTTACTTACTTCTGTCGTATCCAACTTATCAATTTCATTGTGATTTATTTTTTCTTGATGACGCCCCCGTCCAACACTAATCGAATCAAAATTTCTATCGTGTAATGGCACGCCAAGACAACAGATACAAGCTGAAACTGGTTTATTTTTTGTATTTTTCTTTCCTCCCATCATTGGTGCACGTTTTAAGTATGCTGAGAGTGGATCGTTGTCATCCAAATCACATTCTGGCATCATCTTTCACCTTCACTCACTGTTTATATTGGATATATTGTGCGTTTTTATAATGTTGTATAAATAAGCACGTTTATTATTCAATGATGAAAAAGTATCTTCACTTCTTATTATCTGTGCATCTGATAAACATTGTCAAGGTTAAGGAGTAATGAATATTTTATGCAATCATAGATTTTTTTTGAAAATTGTAGCTGAGTGGGTTTTGTGTATTTATTTGGGGGAACTAAGCGATATCTCATATCTTGCAATTCAATATGAATCTATAGTTAATCTATCAACCTTCATAGACGTAACTTGATACTCTATAAATAACAACTTTACATTTCCATTCTAAATGCCAACTTCATCTCAAATTTAATCAGTTACACAACATTCTAAACTACAATTTGTGCATGTAAATAGGATGTTTGCATAATGTGCAATGCAAGTTTGTGGATAAATTTACAAACAGGCTTCTTCATTAAAGAAGATTCATGTAATCATTATGGTTGGATAATAAGTTTGTATTATTCCCATGGGCTTGTTATACGGTGAAAAATGCTACCTATATAACATTCATCACATTCCACACTGAGCGTACTCGAGAATTTTAATTTCTAGTTTTTTTTCCTTGAACTTGTTTTAGAAATGTTTTCATTTATAGCCTGAGAACTTTCTTGTTTTAATACTGTGAGGCGAGGACCGTAATTCATGATCTATAAAAGCGCATTTTTCTTCATATTGTACTGCACAGTTAAAATTAAATTAACGGATAGAAAATATTCAAAAAATAACTGTCAAAAAATATTCAGAAATTAAAATTAAAATATATTTGAATAATGACGGTTAAAAGATTATGAAGCTCACTTTTTTGACAGGCGAACACACCAATTGCGAATATCCACACTTCCCATGAGAAAATGCTTTTAAAAATTATATAACATCCTTTCCAGCCTTGTCACTCATGACTTTTCACTTATTACAATACAATACCCTCATGTCTGTCTTCTTAGTGTTATATTCTAACCTAAAGTCGTGCGATGCTTTCATGACGTTAACTTTTAGACAGAAAGACAGGGAGAATAAAGAAGAGGTAGGATGAAAATAAAAAGTTGCACGTTGTGTCATCGAGTCATGTATAAGGGGATATTTTTCTCTTTATGCACAGGCTTTGCTTTTTTGTTGTAGATGTCTTGTTATTAAATATAAAGATATTCATCTCATTCTCTCTTGTTTCCACACGATTTGTTTATCACTTTTACTTTTCCACATATGTGTATGAAAAATGTCTATTATCTCCCGCATGCGTTATTCTTCCAAATTTTTGCGTACGTCGGCTGCTACATATGACTTATGTTATTTTAGCAAATTTTTCATTTTAATATTATTTTCACCGACTTTGAATGATGACAATGAAAATGTTTTTATTGAAATTTATTGTCTTCTTTTTATTATTAATGGCACACAAATTGAATTTATGTAGATTCATATGTCTTAAGCGCTTACAAGACATTCAGACGGTATGCAGGATGTGATATGGAAAGGTAAAACTTTCGCACTAAATTATTAATTGTTGTTCCTCGTTACTTTTTCTACTTGCTTCCGTTTTTTGTCACAGCCATGGCACGATGAATTTTCATAATTAAATTTTAAAAGCGGCAAGTCATTGTATTTTTGGGGCATTAATATTTTTTTGCTTGCTTGTTTGCTTGTTAAGAGAAACTTTTTTTTGCAGGAAGTTAGCAATTGATTTTTTAAGCTTGCATGCAGGATAGCTAATTCTAGATAATCTTGTGCATTTTTTGTAATTTTAAAGCTATTTGCATTCAAAAGTTGATATGTTATGCTCTTGGTGATGCCATAATATTAAAAGGTTTCCTTGGTAATGAGATAGCATCGATAGAGTCCCTATAGACGGTTTCTAAGGTATTCTCTAGACATACTAGCCTAGAGGATCATACCTGTCTGCAAGTTCTAAATAAACCTGAGACATTCATCATTCAGATGAAGTAGCATCACTAAAGATTCTAAGCATTATCCGAAAATGAGGCGTCATGTGTCTGAATTTAACCCCACGATTAATTCCCATCATGTTCTGACCGCATCTCAAACATGAAAATATCCAATTTAAATTCCCTCAAAAGAAGACCCCCAAAATAACTCTATCAACACATCTGATGATACCGACATAAAATTAAATTGAATAAAATCTGAGAACATCTTCATTTCCACAGAAATAATTACACTCTACTCAAATTATCAGCACATTGAAGTTGCTTCTATTGTAAACAGTCCGAACAATTTATTAAAATGAAGCTTGACAGCTTCAATTACCATAACATTAAAATTGTTTGAAATTTTCACCGAGAATCTTTTGGGTAAAATTTTGAATGCTAATTTATGATAAGTACAATGAAAGGCACCCAAATTCATTAAATTGAAACTGTATCCGATATAATAATGCCTAAAAGCTCCAAAAAAGATTTGCACAAGACGGATACATTAATTTACGGATGAAAGCTGTATAAAGTTTCATTGTTAATGTTCAGCCCCACCACAGTCAGTCAGAAAAAAATGCTTTAATTCAAATTAATTCGAGAATGTTTTGTAAACAGAATCTTATGGGCTTAGTAGTTACTGTTGCATGCCATTTTTGGATGTTGAACTTTTAAATAATTTATGCTGTAAGCTTTAATAAAAAACTTTGATTTGATTTTAAGTTTTGAGGAATGAAATGCACATAGCTACTAGCAGTGGCGTAGCAAAGGTAATAATGGCATCTAATATGAAGTTGCATGCAATGAGGGTCAGTTTAAGAGTACTTGCTGTAGATTGAGGAGAAAGCTAATTGAAAGAAATTTCAGGTTTTAAGAAGGAAGTCAACCCTCAAAACCTTAACAACATGGTTCTAAACAACACCAAATGAAGACAATTCAGATTTAAAATTGCTTATTTAAGCATTCATTTGAATAATAAAGGAATGAAAATTTCCGACTCCAATTTCAACCGACAAGAGCAGTTTTTGGTGAATTTGCGAAAACCTTCATTCTTGTGCATGAATAAAAAATCAATTTCAATTCTGCTTAAGCAAGAAAAACTTTTTAACATTCGACCTTCATCCGCTGTATCTTTAAATATTCACTAAATTTGACGCTGCTTCTTATTTTCTTCCTTTATTCCCGTTAAACATGATGAACTCGCACGTAAATTCTTACAATGTTATGTTTCGCTTCGTGCAAAACTCATTCACGTCAAGTTAAACTCTCATGATGAGTATTAGAAATGACAGCGACAGTATTCTCCCTCGTGTTAATATGCCAATGCCTGGCTTAGAAGAAGTTGGAAATAGCGAAAAAAAAATCTCTATATCATGTAAACGCAAATTTTCTCCTCTATTTCATGCCACACGAAGCTGATATTTAATATATGTGAATGTTTTATAATATAAATAAATGGTTATTTTATTCAAACAGGAGTCAGGAATATTATTGAGGCAAGAAGTAAAAGTATATGTTCTATACAACAAGAGGGAGAGTGATGTGTAGCATGTCATTTGAACTCCTGTGAGGTAATAGCTACTTCTGAATTTACCTTTGATTTTATTCTTGAAATGTTTTAGAATATGGAGTCTATTAAAGGATGATAAACTGAGGGAGGAGAGTAGTAAGAAAATTTTAAAGGATGAAACGGAATTAAAGCAATTTTTAAAATCTATTTTTGTTTTTAACTTTTCAGCTGCTAGTTTTGATTTAGGTGGTTTTAATGTGGAATTAATTAACAAACTATGCAAGGAAGTGAAAGTGTCAAGTCACTTTCATGACTAGAAATTTATAATGATGACGAAAAATTGAATTTAAGACTGAATTGGACTCTCTGTCTTATACCACAAAAACTATGCATTCATCACACTTCTAAGTTCTATTCAAAATTCTAAATATACAGTCAAATGAAGTCACAGTTCCACCTTCAAATGTGATAAAAGTTACTAAACACGATGACGTCTTCTGTGTCATTGAAAGCAGGAAAAACGAAGAAGAAAAATAGGAAATAGACTAAACATAGAACGAAAATACTTTAATGCATAAACATAGCCTAGTTATTTAATACAAAACGTGCTTTAGATAAAGTTTCATCTTCTTGCTCTTTATTCTTGTGTATGTACAATAAAAAGCTTGTCGATGTTTTTCTTCTTTTCCTTTTGAATATAAAAGCAGCAGCAAAAAAGCAACAGAATCAGAAGCAAGAAAGAGAAAATTGTGATATTTACACATAATATTTTACTTCCTTTTTTTATTTTTTTCGTTTTCTTTTTTGGGAGCAAAATTGTCTCATTGTGTGATTGAACAAAAAAAAATCCTATCCTATTTTGTGCTCTAAATGCGAGAAAAAAATGGACACAATGCTATAATGATTGTTTGGCTATGACGTCTATCTTATATGGGCTAAGGAGGTCTACAGCTGTTCTATTCTCAAAAATAAGTGATTTTGCAACAGATTGGTTCAAAAATGTTCTCATTTCTAGATCAACGTCATTTATGGATGTTTCCCCTAACATATTCTTATTGTTGAAATCTTTGCTTTCAATGACCGAGTTTTGTTGCTTTTATCTCCAACATTCGAGGTGATTTTCTGCATCCATTTCATGAAAAATCTCTTTTATATTCGGGTTATGCTGTTGGGCATTAATGAAGGTTTTTGTATCTTAATTTTAAATCGAAAAATTTCTTTTAAAGCTCATGAGGCTTTAACTTATATCTTGATAGTAGATTGTGGCATGAAAATTCTGTTCATTATCAAAACAAGCAAGAAAAAGTTCTAAATTAGGAAGGACAACAATAAATGTCATCAAAGTGCCTACTTTTATGAACATGATAACACATAATACTGAATGAAATTATCACAGACACGCAAGCTTCTATACTAACTTCCTTTGACTACTTTCGAGGATAATTAGAAGAAACAAGAAGCTTCTTTTTTGCCACTGTCGACATAATGGCATGAAACATAATTTTTTTCCTGTC